AAGTGTACGAGATAGGGACAATCCTGCTCTGGTGCCCAGGTCACTGGAACTGTACAGGTGGCACATCTCATAGGTGCCCAGCCTGGTAGCACGCTTGATGCGAGCCTCCTGCAGCTTTCCTAACCTGCTGCTGTGTTTCCCTTTCCCTCCTCTGCTGCTTGGCACACGTGGATACCAGGAGGCTGCGAGCTCGACCTGGCCTGCTTCGTCCAGCTGATCAACGAGATGGGGGGGATGCAGCAAGTGACTGACCTCAAGAAATGGAACAAGCTGGCAGACATGCTGCGCATCCCCAAAACTGCACAGGACAGGCTGGCCAAGCTGCAAGAAGCCTACTGCCAGTACTTGCTCTCCTATGACTCCCTCTCCCCCGAGGAGCACAAGAAACTGGAGAAGGAGGTCTTGCTGGAAAAGGAAATCTTGGAGAAGAGGAAAGGACCTTTGGAGGGACATTCGGAGAATGCCTACAAGTTCCATTCCTTGCCCCGGTTTGAGCCCAAAAACGGACTCATCAACGGCGTGGTTCACAAAAACGGCTTCCGCAACAAGTTAAAAGAGGTCGACGTCCCACTGAAGACGGGCAGGCGGCGGCTCTTTGCTCAGGAAAAGGAGACCACGAAGGAGGACGAGGAGGAGGAGGAGGGAGTTCTTAGCGACTTACACAAGTGTATATACAAGGTAACAAGGGGGGCTCTGATGATTTTGTTTTGCAGAACTGATGATGCTGTTGTCTGGGTGGCATCGGGGTGCAAACCCAGCAGGCTGTGGGGGCTGATGGGCTGCAGTGCCACCCCCACGGCAGCAGTACAGCCAGCGGCTATTGCAGCTGGGTGCTCTGGTGGCTTTATCCTGGTCTGCCTGGCTCTCGTAGGATGTCTGGAAAAGCTGGAAGGTGTCACTGTCATAACAAGATGCACCGGGCTCTGCCCCTTTTTGTCTCTGTGAGAGCTTCCCTGAATAGTTCTGCCCAATTATCCTTGCAGACACTGTTTTTCTTTTCATTTTCTAGTGACGTTTAAAGTAATGTTCTGTTTTCTTATTCCTGCTCCTTGCAAGTCTGTTGTGAAGTCGTGCTCCACATCAAAACTAACATCACTAGAAATACTACTACATTTAGAAAGGGCAATTTGCAATGCAAACAATATTTTGCTCAGCACTACCAGTCACATGGACGCCTAGTCCTCCACATACCAAGTACGTCCATTTACGAAGGAATGCTGACTCTTTCACTGTTTTATTTGGCAGTCTCCTGCTCTGGAGCAGGACTTGGCGCTGCTGCTCGCAGTGCAGTTACGTTGAATTCTGTAGCTGTGCTCCGAGAGGAATATAGTGTTGAGTGTCTGTGCCCAGTCAAGGAATACACTGTTCTTCCCCTTCCAATCTCACTTCCATCACCAGGAAATGAAGCCAGATAGCCCAAAGTGGCTTATTGTTAAGCTATTTAGGGACTGCATGAGCTCATGACTTGAGCTTTAAAAGCTTGCTTTGGGTTTCTTTTGCAGCCTGTTACGATTTGTCAGCCCAAAAATTATTTTACTCAGGGACTTCAGCCTCAATCCCACCTTTGAAAAGCAGTCTCTTTGCTGTGCTGCTGTTGGAGAGAAGCTTATCTAATGCCAGCAGCATTTGTGAATAGTGAAATGGCGTTTCTGTGCTTAATATCCCGTGCTTAATGATAAATGAAAAATTCGATACAGCTTACCCTGACTGCTGTATGAATGACCTCAAACTTAGTGGGGAAATGCCACTATTTTCTTTTCCAGTGCAAGTCCCGAGTTAAAGTTTAGAAGATGCAAAGTAACTGAAAAACCAAAATTGGGATTTTTGAGAAGTAGCCTAATCAGATTTAGGGGAAAAAAAAAAAAAAAAAAAAGAGGCAAGCAAGCAAAGTGCAGCTACTATAACCAGCCTGAGTCCACTGAGCCCCAGACCTTTACCACAAAGGGCTGAGAGCTCCCAAATCACTGATGCTGCCCAAAAAACACTGGCAGTACTGACAGCATCAGTACTGATGAGTGCGAAGAGAGGTGCGTAGCTTCATTTTCACAGCACCTGGGGGGAAGCCCTGTAGAAGGACTGATGCATGAGAGCTAGTTGTGTCACTTAGACAAAGCCTCAAGACGGAGAAATAAGAAATTATGCAACAAGCTTGATGCACCGGAGTAACCCACAAGACTTGTGAAATGACTATAGTTCATCACCAGGCTTTTTAATAAGACTGAGGTGAGGTGGTGCTGGCTTACAGATTTAAGCAGAGGGTGCTTCATGGCATTTTGTGAACCAAGTCTTTTAATCCTGCATCCTCTGCTTTTCTTGAGTGATGGTATCCTTCCGTGCACGTGTCTGTGAAGGGGGGTGTTCTTTACCTGTTAACGTGTTTCTGAGAAAAATCTGAGATATGTTTAACAGAACACATCCTCATACTACAGCTTCTACAGATCATGGGATTGTAATGGTTTCTAAAGGACATTGCTAATTCTAATGAAAAAATAAAAAGCACACACAAACCAAACAAAAAACTCCACCAACCCACCCCGCTGATGAATGCCCAGGTCAATAGATCGAGGGCTGGAGGAGAACATCATGATCATATGGCTGTGGTCCAGCTCAGCCCATAAGGTCTATACTTCAGGCCATGGACAGGCCATACATTTAGGATTTTGCACAGTAATTCCTGCAGTCGGCATGTGCTCGAGCTGGAACGTGTTTTTAGAAAGAGACATCCAGTCTTCCAGGAGCAGTTACCACCGTATCGCATGTGAAGGTTAGAGTAAATCTCCTTTGTGCTTGGCTGACTTTCTGCCAGGGCTCCCAAATTATTTTCAGTGTTCCTCCTTTCCAGGCTGCAAGGCCTGCTGTGCTTTTAAGCGTGTGCTGCAGCCTGCTGCGCTCGCCTGCTTCACTCCTCAACGCATGGCTCTTCTACCTGGCTAATAAAATATTGTCGTTTGTAAGTATGTGAAGTAAGCTGCTGTCATCAAAGAAGGATCTGCTGTAAAATTTTTCACCCTTCTCTTTTTTTTCCCCAGCTTTAGCTCTGAAAATATTTTAAAAATCTGTACTGGAGCTGACTGAGAACAGCATTTGTTACCATACAGAGCAAACTGATGGCTTATTAGCAGACCTGTTAGAGGGACACGCAGAAAAAAACCCCAAGACAAGTTTTGCCAGCCCTCACATGAAACCGTCCCAGAAATCCCATGCTGAGCCCTCTTCAGCCGGGGACTCGACATTTTTGGATGCTGCTTAGCAGGCGTCCCTCCTTCCTGCCTGTGACTATTGTGAAATCTCTTTTCTGCTCATATTGATGGCTGCTTTAATGTCTTTAACATTTGTAGTGTTGCAGTGTCCTTCTCTGTGCTTTCCCTCCAGGATTGGTGGTGGTGCTGATGCTCTGGGTTGGCTCTGACGGCCGACGGAGAGGCCATGGAGAAGAATCAGGGGAGGAAATAGGAAAATTTGTTCCTTAAACCTTCCTCTGTCGTATTGTCGCAGCAACAGAGACTCTGCTCAGTAGCATGAAGCTCTCAGGACAGTTGTTGAAATGTTGAGGCATTTTTGAAGGCGTAGAAAAGGGTATTTTAGTCATTAGCAATTAATTTTTTGTTCTGGTTAAAATGCTCCATTACAGCATTTTAAATTATTTTCTGAGTTGGTATTAGAAAATTTTATGAGATCCCCGAGATTAAAAAAAACAATAACAAAAACCCCCAAAACAACCACCCCATAACTGTTTAATTTGTGTTACAACTTTTAGGAGACTAAAAGGATACCAAATTCTTGATAGAGGAAGAAATGGGTATATAAGTTTTAAAGGGCTAAACCGTTCAAGTTTTCCACTTTCTCTTTTTATCTGAAAATTGGACAGACATGGTTCATCATGGAAGATGAGTCCTTATTCTTATTTTTCTGAATAAGATGAGAGGAAGACGCAAATAAGTGAAATGAGGGAGCTGCTGCAGAGCACGTGTTGGTTTGTGAGCGGTGAAATCTATTCTGAAGCGTGGCGACTGTTGGTGCAGGCCCTGCCTTTTACCAGAGGTTTTGTTGTTAAAGGCTGCCTCCATAAATGATTCACGAGGGCATTAAAAGATGAAGGAAATTGCTTATTGTATTGCAGAGCATCCAACTCTGAAGTTTATGGCAATCAGAGGGCCCCAGGCCCTGGGCATTTCACAAAAGTTTTCTGTTATAGCTAATTATGCTGCATTCAATTAAACAAGTGACAGTGTTACAACCGTAGGAGCATGGCAAAGCGATAG